AACAAACTTTTTAGTGTATTTATAGATATTTTTCCTTTCTGTTTCACCTTTATGATAATACTTCAGTTTTAGGTGTCTTAGCTGGGCCCCGTTCTTAGAATGTAGCAGTCTGCACCATTTTTTAATACGTTTTTCTTTTCCCCGGATACCAATAGATTAATTTGTTCCTTTTTTTTAAAATGTGATTGCACAAAGTGGTTATAATAACATAGGCATGTGCAACGTGATTGTCTGTGTGTGCTACTGTCAGCCATGCGTGTGTAGTCCACCTCCTCAAAACCCTCTTCAGTCTTTAGGTTTTGACCATTGTTTCCTCGTAGTGCCTTACAGATATAATGACACAGTTTACTTGGCTTGGATCCTGAAAGCCACAAGAGACTATAGCTATACTTAGAGACACACGTTTCCCTGATTTGACATCCTAATCGGGGCGGTTGTAGCTCTCTTCCAGGTGTAGGCTCAGCCCTTGCTGTTTCTTGTCCTTAATGACAGCGTACCGTAGATGACGAAGATTAATGTCAGAGGTTTTATCACGCCGAGCTTTTTTATTATGTGTGCATGAGATAACTTGCCTGGGGTACTTACCAAAGTCGTAGATAAATTCTTGCTACGTTTGCTGTGGATATTAATGTAAATGTGAAAATGTACAGTATAGCTGTAGCTGTAAACCTCTATCACGGTGGCACCCAAAATGTGGCTTTAGTTAGGATTTTGTTTCTTTTGAACCACGCGAGGGAAACGCGTGTCGTGATCGCAGAGCAACGATATTGGCTCAGTTTTCGTGTACAAGGAATGAGTTACAGTATAATGTTTGAGACTCAGCAGAGGCAGGTTAAGAGCTAGTCCGAGCGAAGGGCCTGACGGAAAGTGATTCTGTAAGGCTTTAGATGGCCTGGCTGCAGCAAAGAGACAGCGTGTTGAGGGTTGTTGAGAGAGGTACAGTGTAGGCATGAGTTAAGGGGCTGGTTGAAAGCATAGGGTCAGTTTAGCAGGGGACCGTGGAGGGCGGGGCGAAACTCTCGATTTTAAATGGAACTAAAATAGGAGCAAGTTGGCAAAGAGCAGGTTGATAGTAAACACTGAGCCCAAGCCGTAACAACATGTCCGAATGGCGTAACATTCGGACATTAATCCTTTTTTTGTTCTTTTCATTTGTTCCTCTTGTTGTTTGTTTCTGCAGCAAAGGTAATTGGAAGTTGATTCACGGATGTTTTGAAGGGAACAGAAGGGAAATGTCACAGCATACACCTGGAAGGGCACATTGTGGATGGTTTGTCATCGCTGTCCATTTGTCTTCGAACCAGGTTCACCACAGACACCGCCATGCCAGCCAGACAGGATACCCGAACACTTAGAGAACCAATAGGGCTGTCGCTTTGTGTGTTTGCTGCTTGATTTAATAGATTTCAATTTCTTGTAGCTAATAATAATGAATCTCCTTTGTCCTCTCGAACGCGGGCGCATCAGAACTGCTGGTGATTTAGTGAAAGCCTTCCCCTCTCCTTCATGGTATGCCATAGTACTTGCATTTGAAGTGATTTTTTTTCAACATCATCTTGAACTTTTTGACATGGCTGTAGTACATGTGTTTATTTTTAGAGATTGTTGCAATAATTCTTGTTGATGTTTTATCAGAGCGTGTGCGTGCGCGTGTGTGTTTTTATTATATGTCAGGCTCATTTCTGTTTTATAACCTGGGGGTTGATGTACAGTGATATTTAGTATTTTGTTGAGGTGGTTGCACCTGTGTAAAGTGTTGCAACACTGCCGAAGATGATAAGTGTTGAGTTGACGATGATCCACTGGGGGCCCTTATCGATACGTGCTCGTCTTGAGGATGCCACACCCAGGTTTGAAATCCAGCGGTCCCCCGATGGGCCCCAGAGTGGTCTTTTATCCCGGTACTTTCCTCAAAGCTCTCCCCTCCCCATCAGCTCCAGCATGCAAGCCTCGGGTCCAGGCGCTTAAAGATGTGATTACATAGTATGTTGCTGGTTACGTCGTTCGTTGTCTTTTTATTTGATATTATTTTATCTACTTAATTTCCTCTGGGTCATTGGGGCCTTAGCGCACACACACACATAAGGGAAGTGATTTTCCATGGAAGTCTTTTAGCTCCTCTGTTATGACACAAACTACTGAAACATTCCACTGTTTTGAGGGAATTTGGCATTACCCACGCTACACTGCTGTCCAGACCCCACTCCCCCACTCTTTTCAGGATGGGGCTAATGTCGACACACTCTGACTCTTTTGCTTGTCCCACCAAAGACTTTTACAGATCGATCATGTACAGCACAGCACAGTACAAGCAATCCTCCACAGCATTGCAGACAGGCAATAACTTCTGGTCTCATCTTTAAATGCTTTACAAGTGCTTTTGAGGACATGTTGTTTCACCACCATGAAATGTATATGTGTGTACAACGTACGAATGCACGGGGAGGATTTGGCATACTTCTTGCAAACAGCACAGCTATTTGTTTCTGGACATTTAACCATTAGAAGAGCTGCAAGGTGTTTGAAAGCTTTTGTTTTTTTAATGTTTCACTTTGATTTTTCCTCATATTTGGCCCCTGTTTAGATTAAATCAATAATTGTCTAAAATGATCAATTTTTCTGTTGTTGATGTTGTAGCTTTATTAGCAGTGTAAGAAAATTAATTTTAAAGGTTGCCATTGAGGAGAATGGCCCGTTAATTATTATGGAAATAATCAAAAATATACCAAGTATACCTTTAAAAGCGTGGTCACCTGCACAAAATGAATGTAATATGTGACCTGTGAGTGAAAGGACGTGGCAGGAATGGCTTTAGATCTTTTCTCCGTGGGTGACCATTAGTTTCATTTCGACACCATTTGTGGCCATGCATGATGCAATAACTAAACATTTGTTCTCCAGCGAGTTCCCACATGAGACTAATTATGTAAAGTTACCGGTATCGCGAGTTGGGGATATTGAATAATCGCTATTTTCTCAAATCAAACAAACAAAAATAACTTGATGTGTACGAAACATTTGTCTATCGTTCAGTTTCACTTAACCAATGTTTTGTGTTTTCTATGAAAAAAGAGGGGAATAAGAATATGAGCATTAATGTAGATCGAGTGACCTTACAATTACCAAAATGTGCTTAAGTAGAGTATAAAAATGTTTTCTGTTGCTGTGGTGAGTGTAGCCTTCCCAGCAACAACTTTATTCTTAAGTACTGCCTTCCAAATAACCAATAATACCTCCAAAGCTTTAAGGTGACGTTTAAATTAGAGAAAACATAAGGCAGCATCTTTCTCTCTCTCTCTTTATGAAGCCTGGCATTCTCCTGAGATACACTCAAACTTCCACTTTTGCCCACGGTGTCATCTCACATACTCGTCGTCCCGGAGCTTTGGAAACACTGAGAAACATTCCTGCGAGCGCGGCGCACGCAGTGCTACATTAGTCTTCTTCGAACAAACTCCTCCAAGCTGGCTCGAAGCTTAGTAAGCGAACAAGCAACCTGCAACCTCAAATCACACGCTTGTACGTCATTTGGCAAAGTCACAGCTGCTTCCCAAAGTACAAAAGGAGTTTAAGGACAGGTGTTAGGTGGATAAATCACGTGCTGATGAACTATTCTGTCACCAGGAAATTCATAATCTAGTTACACGAGCATTCTTGAAGCCCTTTTGTATGATTTTGTTGTTGTTTTGTTTTATTTTTTGGTTTTTAATATATATTTGTTAAGGGGATCTGCTCCTTTTGCTGGCTATTCTTTGGGGGAATTCAGGGTAAGGTGGTCAAGGTTTGATGCCGTCACTGACACTGGCGTCAAGTTATTGAAACTTAAAAAAGTGATTTCTTTACGTACTGAGTTAAAATTCATTTGATCTGCACCAGCCGATTACCCCAATCTGCAATCTTATGAGATGTTGGGCTCCACATTGAAGAACTTTAAACATTTGGGTTATTTTACCGGAATACTTGGTAGACCAAAGCTACTACATTCAAAGATGGATTTCCTTGTTTGTCTTAATCTTAGGATCACAGTCCCTTTTGGGATCCTCAGTATAATCAAATTATAATAATCAAGTTATAGTAGTTTTAAATAACTACTCGCACAAAGAAGGCGATAATTCAGTTTGTTAACATTTTCTAAAGACCTAAGAGCGCGTCAAACCCTGACCCCCTTTTGTGTCCATTGCTGTATGGTTTATCAATGGTGTAAAATCTCATTCTTTGTCGATGAAGCTAATGTGTGCTGCAGTATTTCCTAGTATACTTCTCTGTTTATTGTCTTTTCTTATTTACTTTGGTTTATTGGGGTGTGATGTCTCATTATTTCAATCTGTTGACGTAGCGTTCAATGTATACCCTGTTCCTTAGCCTAATATTAAGTATGTTATGAGAATGGATATTTTACTGGCTTTATAGAATGTTTAAATAAATATAATAATGACAATAAGAAAAAGGATTAATTAAACCTCCTAACAAGTTGAGTACTTGCTACTAAGCGCTTGTGTTACCATTATGATGTCGTGTGCTTCTCTTAATCATTTTCGTTGTAGAAAAATGGAGTGAATTTATATTAGGCTTCGAAAAAACTAATGATAGCATTGTAAATTTTACAGGAGGATTTTAACAGACAAACAGCTTCGTCAAATAGAAGAATATAGTTATTTTAATTGTCCTCTTTACTAACTGTAGGGTGACAAGGGGCTCCCGTTGTGGTGAACTATGTTATAGCTTGTTATTCACTGTTACTTTTGATCATTTTTTCGGTCTCCGAGGTGAATCGAGTTATTAATGAGAATTTGTATGCTCACATATGCATATTGTATATGTGTAGAAATGTAATCACACTTTGTCTTGGATTTACATTAAACTGTTAAGTCACAGCATCGGTCTCCTGTTGTCTACTGTGGGGTATATGTGTGTGCATGAGTTAGGCTCATTCTTTGCACCCAGCATACTGTCTCTTGCAAAACCTCAGAATTAAGTGCAGTTTGACTGCAGTGTGTGATCTAGAATTAATTAATTAAAATGTCTGGGCATGGCTTATTGTGTATTACAATTAAATCAACATTTTATGCACAAGTTTGAAAGAAACATTTCATGTCATGCAATAAATACAAAATTGGAAACCAACTTCCAGCCTGTAAAAAACATATAAAAGAGATTTTTTTATTTCTTGCCTTATTTTATTTCACAGTTGTAAATGGTTCAGGCAGAGCCCATTTTATACCCTATAATATGTAAGGTCATCATAAATTTACACATTTTTGAATCTGCACACAAGCTACAGCTGTTATATCAATGTGGTAGTATAATGTAGGTCTTAGTATTCTCTGAAAACAATGAAGTCTCACCTTTTAACCATTTAAACTACTTTATTTTGCTCATTAGCTACACGCATACATTTTATGGAGATTAAAACACCATAATGCTACTACGTCACGTTGGGTTTTTCACGACATTTTCATCCACTGACCACAGCAAGAGTCAGAGAGAAATAAGTAAAAAGAAACTGCTTTAACATCGGCAGCAATGGCTACACACAACACCATCACCAGGTGGCGGTGTTCGCCATGATGTTCACTTAGAAACTTGCGCTGACGTGATCAGGTATGCTAATCATCTCCATTTATTTGCAACCACAAAACTCTGCAATGGGCAACGTTTACACGCTGCACCACTGGGCCCCGTCTTTGCCAGAAGGATATTTAATTTATCTTTACATAGAGCATTAACTTGTTTTCAGAAACGTGTTAAATAGCAACAGAAACAAACGAATTAATTGTTTGATCCCACATCCTTCAAAGTCTCACCACCATAAAGATAAGACTCAGGCTTGTAAATGTAATGTTAACTGATCTGCATATAATTACATATTAGGGTAATAGAATATTTTTCGTTTGAACTCAGTAGCGGAAGAAGGTCAACTCTATACAGCCAATAAAAATATAATAGCTATACCTTGGGGTGAGTGCATCAATGCGTGAGGTTGCCGTGGAAGCCGCAGACGCCTCCTGACGAAGACCAACCTAATATTTAAAAGGCCACCGTGACAGAAAAGAGGCTGAACCAATGGGAATACGCCTTAGCAAATTAGAAACTAATCAGATCTGTCAGAGGGCGGGGCTATCCCAATCCTCGGGACGAGAGAAGGTAACTGTTACCAAAAGAGTGTCAGATGAAAGCCAGTCGCCAGTTCGTGCACACCACGTATACACTGCAAAAACTTCAAAGGCACGCAGGTGGGCACGAGGACGTTAATGACAAAGCTCCACACAGCATTTCATCCAAGGATATCCTCTCCTCACGCTCACAAAGGAACTGATAGAGTTGGAGCTCCCTTTCTTGGTAAGTCTGTGTGCGCAGCTATGAGCTGGCTTACAGGAATGGCAGGGGGCGAATTGAGAAGGAAAAATCGCTTTATGTATGCACTGAGCGCAAGCTTTGGGATATATCATCAAATTATTTTGGCTAGGCAGCGTTTAGCGTTTTCCTGTCAGACTCAAACGAGGGATGGAACCTGCTTTGTCTAGCTAAATGAAAAGCCACATGACCATTAAGCTTGCAAGTAACGGGACGGGATGTAGGACAAGAGACTACTGTATCATGATAAGACCCGCTGTGAGAGCGTCTTAAAGCTAGCCATACATCCGAGGGATGAGGTCTGTGCTGGATCGTCTTTTGTCTTTTTGACCTCCTTACAGATTTGTTCCCCTTATATGGAGTAAGTTGCTTTGTTTTGTTTATCTGATGGGATAATAGTCGCTGTTTTCACGACCAATTTGGCCATGAGTGTGAAAACTGCAGGATAAATAAGGGAAATACTCACTTTTAATCAACGATCCAGGGCATGGATAAAAGAAAATGTGTTGCTCCAATCATCCAATGATATCTGTTATTAATGTTACCCTAAAATTGCAGGTTTGAAATGATTTAAGTAGTTTTCACTTGTTCTTCAGCTTACTGGGGGATTCTTAAGTTAACGCAGTGATACTCAAGCAGGCTGTTCTTAAATGTCTCACTGTTGCTTCTTTTCAACAGTTTTTCTCCACTACAAAGACATGTGATGGAATAAGGGGCCTTAAAGTGAAGAAGAGCAAACTAAGGCGCTCGCAAAAACCTAACCTGCGATTGTCTTTTTGGAGTGAATCTTCTCTCCTTAACCGGATGACATGCCTTGACTCGACACCCACCGTACCATGGCAGGTTTAGTCTCCACTGTGTGTTTGGTGGTGATGCCCAAAGCTCTCATGCACACCCACAGCCAACGTGCTGCGCTTCTGGTGGTAACGGTGTTGTTAATAGTGATCGCAGCTGACTTACCTGGGGCAGGTAAGAGAACACTTTTTCTTTTTTCGCTGACTCACACAACATGATCCACTAAGTACCTTGTGTTACATAAGTGGCACGGATCAATATCGTGTCCAACATTCAGGTAGCTTTGAAGAACAGCATTTAGAAATAATATTCCAATTGAGTTCAAGTTGCAAATAAAAATCGAATCGGCACACGTTAATGTTTATTTCAGATTAAGAACGCTACAAGGAGTGTATCTGGGATTCTTTTGATGGTTAGATTTGCAAATTCTAAGTCTTTTTTTGTGATTTTCACTTAATCTAACTGAATAACTGCACTAACCTGAAAGCAAATGTCACTATTTCACACACATGTTGTCTCTTTTTGTGATACTATTGTGTTAATGTATCCATGATCCATTCTGGGTGCAATCAAGATCTTTATCTTGATGGGTTTGCTTCTGGTATAGCTTACGCTTGCTCATCCTGATGACTGGTCAGAGAGAAATAGGAAGCCGCGAGGCATTAGTCAGTTTCTCTATATAATGTGTTCATTGTTACAAATATGTGCTGTATTTTAACAATATCTGACAACTGTTATAACCAGTCACATCCAGACGATGCCTTTTTTGTGGGCCATTGAACAGCGTCGCTCATATAGTTGGGAGGTTGTTATTATTACAGGCCGTGTATAAGACAACTTAACCAGTCAGCTTCCAGTCATAAGCTTGCTTTCCTTAAGTGTAAGCCACTATTGCTAACTTTTTTCCTTAAAAAGGGCCTTAATGACAAAGTCATGAGCCATGAAATCATGAAATATACATGAATTCGTTTTTATTTGTCACTTCATTTGTGGAAACAGCTTCTATGTCTGTTAGTTCGCTTCGGTGTGAACTTACCACTGTTATGATTTTCATGAGAACAGTGCTTTCTGCCCTGATGCAGTCACACTGAAGACTACACAGACACATCCTTGAATCAGAAGTGACTCAGTTCCTCTTGTACACAGAGTCTGGGGTTAAACCAACTTCCAGTAACTGTAGAAAGAGAAAGTGTCTAAACCCTCCGAGTTGATGGGTGCTTTGTCCGGGCTTAATTTTATTGATAGTGACATTATCCCACTAACACACTGGCCAGTGAAAAAGACCGTGTTTAGAGGGTAGCCAAAAACTCATGATATTGGATGGTAATAGGATTATGTATTAAATGCCTGGGTGAAAACCTTGTGCAGGAAATTAGGCATTAGCGAGTCTTGAACTCACACTTGTTTGATAACACCTCCATTCGCAGCTTTTTAGCGCAGGCTATCAGCCATTTGTTATATTGCAGTTTTTCTCAGCGTGTAGCTAAAATACTATCAAATCATTTGGTAAAGCACGACATCTGATTGCAAGTTTGATACACTGACATGTGTGTTATTTGCATTTGATTGTCATTTTTAATTAGCATTCAGAGATGAACATATTTCTTGTGATAGCCTTCTAAAGGATACGCTAGATATACGTCGATGGTTTAACATCTATTTGTTTATGGTTAAACATTTTAAGGCTGTTTTGTTTGTTTCTTTTTTTGTTTGTTTTGTAAGAATTCACCTGTTTATTTTCTCATTTATTTAGCAAGTGGCTAATTCTGTGGAAAATACTGATCAAATCTGAAAGTTTCTTTTTAGATTTTTAAATCTTATTTCAGATCAAATGTTCAAAATTTGTTTTTTTTTTAGAATTAACATTTTTTGTTTTCATGGCAGAACAGAGGAAGTAAATAACAACAACAGCAAAAAAGCCATTTTCATCCTTCGTGTCCTATATTTTGATAAATTGGTATTGATGATGATGATGCTGACTAAATAAGACCCTTTCAGGAGCATCTTATAGACACTTCTCCTTTAATTTGGACAAATCTCAGGCAGCTGCTAAATCTTCCACAGTAGCCTGTTTCATTTTAAGCATTTTCCATTTTTTTTTAAAAATCAACATTATGGCAAAATTTTATTTATTTACTTATTTATTTTGAAAAGTGAAGTTAGGAACTCAGCATCTTGTAGAGCCCCCTGAGGAGGAAGGACTTTGGTTCCTCTCATTAGATCTTGTGATTCTGCAGATAAAGCAAAAATGGTATGGAGTATAAGAACTAGCTCTGCTAGTTATCCTTCTAGTTGGATTGGTACAGGTACCTGCCCACGTTCAGGCTGCCCACTACAGAGCAGTCTTATTTTTTGTGGAATGTAAAGTTGTTTTTATCTTGTGACTAAAACTCAAACAAAGCTTTGTAAAAGTATTTAAATAAATATTGAAAAAGGAAATTAATAGAATTCAACAATAGGAATTTTTGGATATTTGTTGGTCTGATAGCAGAAGTGAAAAATAAGGTCTGATTAATATACATTTGTACATTGTGTTAGGTGTGTAATACAAAAATATTGCTGCTTTGTTGAAAGGAAAATTTCTTTTACACAATTAAGAGGTGTAACCATTGCTGCTCATACAGCTACTTTAATGTCAGATACACTTTCTAGCTCTTATCTGGTGACACGAGGCTGTAAAATACGTACTCGTTATCCTGCACTGGGAACTAAAATGCTTGGAATAAAGGTTCTGTTCTTCAGTTGTAGGCTGTGATTGTGAGATCACACATTTTGCTCATGGTCTTCACCCATCACTGTTCACTTCACTTTGTTCATCAGCAACATGACAGCTTTCCAAGTTTCCGTAGTCTGTATCAACACTGATGTCACCAGTCTAACAGCTTTCCTCTTTCAGTTTCTGGGTCAAATAGAGCATGGCGACCGACGTCTTATTGTTCCTCCAGACCCAACACCACACAGGAGACCCATGTCCTGACTTCTGTCAGGCTTCTCCTCTTAACAGTTTCTGTTAAAGAAATAGTTCGGCATGTAAACTTCATATCTGAATTGAAAAATATGGAAGATGCTGTTCGAAACTTATAAAATGCCCTTGAAATTTTACCTCAGCAGTACCTCTCTCTCTCTCCACACCACAATCCCTGGCAAGTTCAGCATAGAAAGCTGCAGGCCAGCAAAGTCCTGTCTAATTACCAGTGTAGTCTGTTTCCATGTGAAATGCGATCTGTGTGGGATGACAATATGGGCATTCATTATTCATTAGAGCTGGAAGCCAGTTGCAGATCAATGGTTAGAACCTATCAAAAGCCAAACACTGGGTACTTTTGCACTCACCAGGCCTGGAGGCCGAGCACAACGAGCTCCTGGGAAGCAGCCAGTGGCCGACCTTGCCTACTCACTAGCCTCTCCTAGCATTATTTGGCTCTGCTGAGAGTGGTAGAAGCTGGTCAAGAGACAGCGAATGATGTGACACTGACGAATATTTAACTCAAGTCTCCAGTGTTATTATTAACGTCATTATTTCTCTCGATAATCGTGTCTGATAGCACGTATACACATCACAGTTTTGATATAGTCGGCTGTTCTGCCAATGGCTGCACTCGAGTTTGTGTAATCTTTTCCACTTGCCTGCTATTACCTGCATCTTGCTCGTGGGTTGTGATGTGAAGGTGCCATAGTCTGGCCCATGAATGTACATCTGGTAGTGATTTTGTGTACCCTTTTTTTGGTGGGGGTTATTTTCCACCAGAGAATCACGAACCTACACAGCATCTTATTTAAAAAAAGACTAGTTGATTTTTGTTGTTTGTTTTTTGAAAGCCAGACATTATTACTTATTAATATTGTGTTAGGATTAGATTTTGCCATTTTTTGGAGCAGATATATTCAAATAGTATAAAACAGAATTATAATAGCTGCAGTAATATTATAGGAACTGTCTGTTTGCTATTGACTTCCTTCCTTCCATATGTGATTATTAGCATAATATTTATTAAATTCAGCATCAAAGCAAACATTGCATTCTATCCAGTTCAATATTCTGTATTCTGCTTTTTAAAGATTAGATTTGAGAGAAATTAATAAAAAATGGTCTTATTGTTGTTGAAAACCGAGAACTTGGCTGCCTTCCTCTGCAAAAGTTGTTGGTTACAGAAACACAGAGTTGTAAAACTTTCATTATTAAATACATTTCCCTGACTTTGCCTACAGTTTCTTATACTAACAGTCTGCCAGTGTCAGGAGCTTAAAATGTGCAATGCAGAGTTCATAATTTGACAGGAGGCCACATTGAGGCCATATTGCGCTGAGCCCAAATCTGCTCTGATGAGCTGCAGCTGATTATTTATATATTTATCAGAGCAGATGGCTCGGTTCAGCACGGCCTTCTTTCAGCTTCTCCAGGCTAAATCATTTTGTTTTGGCCCTTTCAGGATTACTGCACCCACTTAGAAGCCAAACAGTAAGCATTTGACCAAACCCTTCAGACAAAATTAGTTATTTGAAAGCAGCTTCCTACGAGCTTTATAGGGAACTTAACCTCGCCCAGCAGACAGTGTTTGTTAATCCAGAACGTAACGTCTGAGAGTGTAATGAGACAAAATAGAAGAGGCTGCTGACTGATACAGTCCTCTGGGCCTCTCTGCTTACAATTCTTTGCCTTCCAGTCTTTAAAGAAAATCAAGACTTTAAAAGTGAATGAGCGTGTCCAGATTTCGAGTTAAATATTCAAATACATCATCATAACCTCCCTCTCTATGGTGAACCCATCTCTTTTTTATGCCCACCTTGCTGTTGTCTTAAAAACAAGTATTCCCTCAGGAAAAAGAAAACAAAAACAAAGGTCACATTAATATTTGATGGTATTTTAAGTGCAGGCATGACCCCAGTCAGGTCTCACGTTCATTTTTGGTCAAATCAGAACAGTCTCTCTAACTATGAAACTTAATGTTAAGTTTCATTTATTTCCTTTATTTGAGTCTCATTGGTAACTGTAACATTTGTATCTGGTTTCTGTTTATAGGCCGTACTTTGTTGATTTAAGTCTCTTCTTTAATCTTCCGCTGCTTGGTGTAAGCTGACTTCAACAAGTGTCTGCAGTGCATAAACTGTGTGTTTATAATAAATGTACCCTCTATAGCTCTGACGTTTGGGTTTTTTCTGTCAGGGGAGCTTCT